GTTCCGGCGGTGAACACGTGATTGTCTAATTTGGGAGGAAGGAGAAGCGAAAAATAACCTGGAAGATGGATTCTCAGGGATCGGACCCGTATCTTTCCACTGCGCTCCCGAGCGGCTCGAGGAGAGATTCGCGTTCTTCGCTGATGCTCAGTCGCCCGTCAATACTCGGAGCCAAGGGTCTTTCCGAAATCTTGAAGACCTAAGTTGGTGAAAATCGAATATTATCGTCGCTTCTGAATCTGCCATAGCAGATTTCGATCAAGATCATTAGCGTGACTCATGGCTCTGACTATCGGCCTTCTGGAGATCAGCTGGATCACTCTTGGGCGATCGAATCGTGAAGAATCTATTCTCAAGAACTATTTCGGGGAAGAAAAAACTGTTACTTCTTACGCGAGGCGGAACATCAGCGCCGAAGATTACTGTTACGAGCAGCCGGCAAATAGAGCATTCTTTCCTTCGTTGAAAAGTATACAAGAAAAGTACAGCGGACCGTTCGATCATCATTACGGTCATTATCGTCACTAGTCGGATCTCGATAATCACTCAATTGTTGCAGCTACAGTGTAGCAGTTGTCGAACTGCATCAATTGTAACCGATCTACTGATTGATGTTTCCTCTCACAATCAGGGACACCACGCGGTGATTCTAGTCTGAAGCGTTAGCGGAAGGTGAGAAATGGAAGAACCTTCTTTTTCGCATGCCCGCCCTTCGATCAAAACTCCGACGAAGTAATCATCCTTAACGTCCCCATTGCAAAACTGAGACGATTCGGTTCTGTACAATCGGGAGCTATCGCTGAGTGTGGGCATCCTTTTCTGTTAGCATCACAGCTCCCGAGCGCTGACAAGCTCGGAGCTCGACGAGCGAAGAAAGGGATCCGAGGCTTGAACGATTTCCATGGCACTTTTCAGGTACACCAGGCACTCATTTCAGGTACACCAGGCACTCATTTCAGGTACACCTGACAGCCTACAGGATCGCAGATGGATCTTCCTTCGTCCACCTCTCCATCTGTCCCACCTGGAATCAAGGATAAATATATGGGATGGGTCCGTTTCGGCTTCTCCCGGAAACCAAGTCCATGGGTCCTGGAATCGGTGATGGCCCAAGAGACGAGTGGAAGGAATCACTGAGGCTGGGCATTCCCGGGGGGCTTTTCTATTTTCCCGTAACTTCAGTGTTGCGTATCTTCGGTGTTCCGTGTTGAGTGGGCTTGTCCGGCTGTTAGGCATCGATCAGCCGGCTCATAAAGAAACTCCGTCGACAGCAAGCTATCAGAATCGGTTGAAGCGTGCTGAGTTTCTTTATTAACATCGCTGCCCGTCTATTATTAGAAACCATAACTGCATGCGCTTAATGACCGGTCTGGAAGACGACCCGACGGAAAGGCGAATGAGAAAAATGCGAACTTTCACTAGTTTGGACAGCCTTGTGTTTTGACCACAGAAACAGGTTAAGCATAGATACGGTGAGACGAGGCCGCATTTCTCGGCGATCAAAGCGTTATATGATCGTTGTGGTGATGCTGATGATGGAAAGCCCGCTATAATTTACAGGGTTCTGTGCTGGAACCCCGAGGGCGAGCCCGTGATAGTCTGCGTACGCTTATTCGGCAAGACGAATTCGCTTCTTGAATCGTCGAAAACGCAGAGTTCGCCTCTGAAGGGGACCCAGCGATCGAGGTCGCCGGTAGCTAATACATATGAAAAATCGGATCAATGATATGCAGGACAGACTCTCCAGTCGTCGATATTCTTTGTCCCTGATCTGTCTCTGAGCATTCAAAGGACAGCGAATTCCTTCGACTCAGTATACATCAGATTTGAGCGAAGAACTGTCGCCAAAGTTGAATTCTGGCATTCGATGAACGCATTTTAGGGGGTCCTAATAGATACATTCCTACAGCATCAGAATGAGGATTCAGAGTCTTCCCTTGCATGTTTTTTTCCTAAAGTAACTGTCACATGCATTGTCGGCCTTTGTTTTGTCGAATGAGGACCTGGGGGAACTTCCTTCCCTATCGGCGGCTCCGACCACACACGAGGTCTTCTATAATCCTCCAGCAGGCTGTGGCGTCCGTCATCAATGGTCATTATTTCAAGAATTGAAACGCCCTGTCATTTGAGAATACACGTGACAGCTCCGATGCTCAAACGTCAGTCATCCTTCAACAGATGAAATCCACGAGATACGCTGTGTTTGAATCGTGCCTCCCGGTGACTTTCCGTTCAGATTTGTCGAGACAGATATGCCAACACCTGTACCGAGACGAGAGCGAATTTTTCCTAATTATGCTTGGGAAATACAAAAGCCTCAAGTTCTTCAGTGTTTTTTTTTCTCTCCTCCCGGCGAGTGATCGTAATGGGCGTATCTGTTCGCGGCGGACCATTGTGTTAAAACAAGCTCAAAGTTTATGATGCTTTCGGATAGCCGAGGCGCGAGGCCATCTCACCGGACACTGACCAAGATACAGTTTTCTTCCACGATTACTTCACGGGACGGGAGAAAAATGCGGAATGGGACACCTGCGAACGATAATTGCGATCTTTTCCTTTCTGTCGAGAACCCCGAGAAGACAAGCAGATGCCAGGAGTCGAATCTTTCGCCAGCGTTTTCGAACACATATATGGCCATAGATGTCAGCTCCGATCATGAGATTCTTATTTGCTTTCGCTGCCACATAATGGCAGGCCTCGGGGTTCCGGGCCATCCAGCTGGCATTTGAGCGGCATTTTTCTCTGTCGACCGACGAGATTAAATTGTTCTCTGTGTCAGGGTGTCGCCCTTGGCTCTTTTGGCAACTCCGATGATTAGTGTGGCATCTTTCTTAACCCACTGTCACACGATAAGAATGCGTGGGGCTCCGACATGGCTAACCACCTGGACGAAGGACATCCGTATTCACGGGGCAGACGGTAATTCAGGCAGCGTTTTTTCGGGATTGTAGATCCACCCGTCACACGACGGAGTCGTGAATAATGAATAAAACTCAGCGAGTCGATTCCTGATCTGAGGTCGCAGTACAAACCAGGGTATTCAGCCTCTAACATCGTAAGCGGCGACAGTCCTTCGTCGTCCAATCGTGGGAGACTGGTGCATGTTTCGGGAAACATTCGGGATCTCAATTTCGGAGGCTCCAAAAAACTCCAGCGACTGAGGAACGACGACCCATTTTGGCTTCAATTTAAGGAAGCAAGGCCACCGATCGAATCGAACTATTGACGCTATCAGCTCTTATCCGGCTAAGGAGGGGATCGGAAGCAATCTTGATCACTTCTAGGGTTAATGCACCGCAGCTGTGGTGTTTTATTATTCATTCATGCATCCTACCTACCACAGCTCATTCATTCGCCTGATTTGAAATCCTTCGCATTTGACCATATCATATAAAAAATATCCGGGGCGCTCGATCGGCCGAAATGATACGATATCCTAGAAACTATCGACCATTGAATGTTCGATATCGGCCTCTTCTGTTCGGAATTTAGCGCGGTCCTCCTCATTCGTGATACGCAGCGCTCATTCCCTCCATTGGGGAGGATTCTGAGCTTAATCCGGCACCGAGTCAAGTATCGTTCCGCGATCATCACGAGACGACTCGACAGCGATGGGCGTTGATTCCATCTTATTTTCTCTCAATTTCTGCCTCGGATCCGCATCGGATCGCACTGCTGTCCCATGAAGGGATTTCCTTCATTCTGAGTTTCTCTCTTCCTGAGTAGCCGTGATGAATGATGACGAGTCGACCAGGGAGTGTCGGCAATCCGACCGATTAGATTGAATTCTCCGAAACCCTACCAAGACCTCACGCCAAGATGCTTGTCCGAAAAAAACCTGTCAGACTCATCAAGGAGCTCGATGTCAGCACTGTGTCTCCACGGAGACGCAAATCAGAGGCTCTATACTTCACCTCCCTGAAGCGGAAGAAAAAGCTTCGGTGTCGATTTTCTGTCGAGACGGTCTTCGTGAAACCGTGCAGCTCCACTTAAGAGGTCACCATGCTCCAGCATCAGCCCCATCGATTAAAATTTGAAACTGATACCGAGACTGGCGAGGGCGCCGTGCTTCTGCAAAATGACATTGACTCCCCGGATCGTATCAGGGAATGCAAAAAAAGGAGCGATATCGGAAAGCAGCTACGTAGACTATGTCTACTCGTTAGCCGCTAAGAGCTCTGGACGCACAAGCGGAGTAAAATCGATCAATCGTCTGTATACGGTATATGGCTCGCAGTTTTCGAGGGACACATGGTACACGTACGCTTCATTTCCAGCTGATTCCGAGCTAAGCACACGAGCTAGAAAGCTCCGATAGCGGGCCGATATGGAAATTCAGACATGTATACGGTGAAACACACAGTAGGATCCGACGGCCGCAGCGCACGGCTCAAATGACAAGGCTCCGCTCGATTTCGGGGATAACCACCACCAGCACGTCAGCTCATTAGTTACGTCGCCGCCCCGGCAGCCGCCGAACAGCATTAATAAAAAACGAGAAAACGCGTTGTAATGAATGCTCGTTACGTCGAGTTCTTGAAAATCGTTGACCAAGCCCTATAATCGAGCCGTGAACGTGTTCCGAGCGAGATGCTGAGCGAAAGTACATGGATGCGAGAGAATCCTAAATAAATCATGACGAGTGCCCTCTCTCATATTCACGGGGCATCACCAGAAAGACATGAACCTTCGATGAGCCAACATTTGCTCAATATCCAGGCGAGTTTTTTAGCTCTGCCTTGTGACGTCTGCTCTGGTTCGGGGCGAAGAGCACAGGCACGAATACGTTTCACTCAAAATGTTCTGCCAAGCGTTGACTAGAGAATTTGCATCGAATTCTATTGCACTTTCAGATGGGGTCTATCAGAGGAGGAAGATTTTTTCTCTATCTCATTGAGACCTTGATCCAAATCTCAGCCGTTGATGCTCCCTCGGTTTGAGGTCAGACTCCCGGCGTGACTTCAAGAGTCTCGGATGGAGCTTCTGTGTACAAGCCACGTTCAAGCGTCACAAGTCCCTCCCGCAGACCGGGAAAACGTGGCCGTGATGTGGGAGAGATCGTGGATGATCATCGGGGGTAGGTCGAGGTCACTCCTCGAAGGAATCGAGTTTTTCTTGGGACGACCTTTCGGTCTCGTCGGAGGAATCGGACAACCGCCCTGCATCACCTGGAGCGAATATATATTGGGTTTTCGATAAGAATCAAATAAGGCCAGTAAGTTCCCGATGGGGGGCCGGGCTCTCCGAATGCCAGTGATCCAGTCCCGTCAGGGACAATCCATCCCCGCGGAAACATACCTGTTTTTTCCACTTCATCCGTCGATTTTGGTACCAAGTTTTCACTTGCAGTTGGGTCAAGCCCAGGGCGCGCGCGAGCTCGGCGCGATCGGGAGTAGACAGATACTTTTGCATATCGAAACGACGCTCCAAGCCCATCAGCTGAACCTCCGTGAAAACCGTTCGGTTCCTTCGGTTTTTCCTCAACAATGAAGGGGACAATCTGTTGGAGTCCGAAAGATCCAACGATTCTGCAAAACCAGAAATATCATTCCGATTTGAGTCTAGCCCTCATCTCCGCCCTGCTAGGGACTCATCGCTCCGGAGAATTTCTTCGACTCATTATCTCACCCAGCTGATCCTCGCGGTTGCCTGACGATTTGTTGTCTGGTGAAACGTCGTCAATATTCCTCTCAGACGACAAATAGAGCCCTGGAATGTCGGAGCAGATGAGGGAATCGATCCCTCCCAATTGTTCGGATTTTCGCGATCCCCCACACAGGCGGAGGCAAGAGGCGCGCATAGGGGGGAACAAGCGGGCCGCTGCCAAGTTTCTCATACGCGATTCCGGAATGTGGTCATTGGGGAGACTCGTCATTATTTCGGTCGCCTGGCCCCCGTGCAAAACTCGAATCGCCCCTTCCTTCAGAAAAATATCTTAATCGCGCCCCTGGTGGAGGCGGACCCGTTCCCGTACCCTAATCCGAACCGGAGAGCTCCATCCAAGGATTTCTATCGTTCAAGCCTCTGAAAAGGAAGTCGTCGAAGACTCCACCGAAAGTCTCCCATCAAACATCCTTCACAGCTCGGTGGCTGCGATACCCCCGAGTTTCTGAAAAGATATCCCCGACGCCGCAAACAAACTCCTTTATCTGAACAACAAAATACAGCTTCCCGATACCCGTGGATGTTTACCTCTCGCATTCCCTCGCGGCATTCACCTCGAGCCGCTGTAAACACTTTTCGATCTAAAAATTTCAAAACGAAGTTGTCACAGGCCTGAACGCTCGCCTACGAGCTACCGAATGGAGTTAATGAAGCGGAATCCAGCGACTCCTATCCCTCCGCATCGGCCAGAGAGATGAGAATGCGCGAAAGACCCAAGATCGATGCCTACACTGCCCTCAGAGTGAAATCTCTCCTCATCTCTTGGGCCGAACAGGCGCTTATCACACCGAATGGACAAAGCAACGAGCAGTACAGCCATTTGTGTACCGCGCGTGCTTGCTGATCGCGGTCTCGCTTCGTATTGTGTTAGCGTGAGCCACTTTGTTGTATATGTAATTCCAAACGGGGAAAGAAAGTGCTTTCAAGTATCCGGAAGGGTTGTTCCCCAAATAAGATGCGCGCCGAAGAAGTCGTGGATTCTACCGGCGGCCGCGACGACCACGCGCGATACCGACCGGCGGTACGTGACGTTGGCGAAAAAAACAACAATCTTTTGTTTTTCCTTTCCGTTCCGCTGTACATCTATCTCGAGCTATGGACGTCAAGCCGAATGCGATGGGCCACGTAACTGGGCGACGACAACCACAATCAGAGTCGGCAGCGGCCAAGGCATTCGCTTGTAGCCGGCAAATCGCATCGGAGGCCGGCTATCGGAGGGAAAAAAATTGAAAATAAAGATTAACGGTTTTTAACTATGTGGAAATGTCGACCGCGATCGATTACCGATTGCCATAGGTTCCAACGCTTTCACTAATCAAATTGTCGCCCGGCTCCTTGCGTCCGTCAATCGCTGCTGTCGCGGCAGCCGTTGTCTTCGACACAAGCGGGAATCTGTGCAAAGAGGCCGCGACTGCCGTGAGAAAAGGGCGGCGGCGGTAGTGGTCAGTTCTTCAGGCATTCACGGACAGACGGACGGCTTCGCATGGGAAGTATGCGCACCCGACGACAGAATCGCGAACACATGCAAATCAGCGTTTCGATGAACGCGTTAAGCAACGCTATCAAGTTATCTGATAGTACTTCTTGTCGAACACCACCCAAACCCGAGAGATACCACTCGCGTAATCAAATACCACTGGTCTCGCTATCGAATGTACACCTTGTCGAACTAGTAGGCTTTTAATATTCGCCGCCATACAATCATCAGCACGGTTCTGATGTCGGCATGTGATCGAATACGAACCGAACTTTTCGATCTGGGGCCGTTCTCCCCCCCCTCTAGCGCTTCCCCGGTATCTGCTCCCTGAGTGCTCTTCTCCCTCGACATTTTTGAGTTTATCACCGCGGATGAGCGCGCGACCGGAGTCCTCTCGAGGACTTGGATCAGTTTTCTCAAAAATGGGCGTGGCCGAACGAGACAGCGCTGTGAGTTTGCGGTTTTCAACTCCCTGACAACGTTCGGGAATGCAGCCAGTAAGTTGAACGCAGCTCGCTTTCCATTGCACCAAAACTCGATAATCTTGAGGCGATATCGATGATATCCATCGGCCGTATCGAGTTCGAAAAGCCCGAATCGATTCCCGGCCAGCCGGCATTCGGATGGCTTCCATGAATGAGATTCTGAGATCCGTCCAACTTTTCGAGAACTCCTGGGTCAGACTGCGCTTCAATTGAGTATTTGTCGACAGCGGTGCGCGGATCGTGATTGGTGATGAATCCAATCTTCGCGATGAGCCCGGGAGGCCAATTCATCGAAGATCACGAGACAGGCTGTGCTCATCGGCTGAATCCGGAAGTTGAATGCTGAGCGAATTCATGAGTTCATCTACGGCCTACGGATTTCCATGTGAAGTGCATTCCGTCGTAGTTTCTCCTCTTGATTATTCATCTGACGAGTGACAACATTGATAAACTCAGTCGGCCTTGACCCCTCGCGCGAATGATTACGTGGTCATCCACGAGTCAAATATTGCTCCTGATTATTGGCAGAAACTCCAGGGCTGGAATGTCGTCCATACAATGCACCATATCTGAGACAATTCTTGTACATATGCAGTGTGTAAGATACACGCAGCAAACCAACACGAACGGTACAGTATCGCTGCGTATCGAACGGGTCCTTCGTCCCACGCGAACAATTCCCATCTACGCTCCCGCAGCGAGGGCTTCAAAGAGTTCGGTAGCATAATCCACGATTTGTCTCATACTAATGATTACGATCGATAGACTCATTCAACAGCCACAGCGTATAAGACTGTTGGGACAGCAAACGGGTGCAGATTGGCGGTAGGGGATTTCGAGAGAATTTGCTGACAGTTTCGCCCGGGAGATCACGCTAATGGTTCGATCGAGACTTCGCCAATGACTTCCGTGCATCTCCGGAAAAATCTGAGGGGGATACTCCGTTCTGCGTCGCACAGAGCATGTAGTCGCCTGTGATTGTACCGGAGTTCGCGCGGGGCCGAGCATTGCAATGAAAAATCTGCAGCCTGGTGGACGCAGCTGTCTAATCGCGCATCCGGAAGAACTAGCCAGGTACACGTGACTGCATCAATTGTTTGCGAAAAGTGAGCAATTTATCAAGCGGCGAGAGTGTCACAGCTCGAGACGCTAGCATTTTCACGCAAGGAGAACAAAAGCTCGAAGCTGATGGGAATAATTATCAGAAAGTGAGCATAGCCATCACCAATTATGCGTCGAGTTCTTGACGGTGCTCTAGATGGAGTGGCCGACATACCGTAGGCTCCACAGATTCTGTCTATGGATCCGGCGATCGAAAATATTCATGGATGCATCAGCGGGCTGGAGCAATCGCTCAATCGGCACGATCTCTAGGGAAGCTCCAGCGTTCCTTGATGATCGCAACCACGGACCATCCGCCGTAGAAGGGAGCGAATGTTGGACGATATCGATATAGGACGAGTAGATCATGATTCACGACGAAAAATAAGAGTTGGAGATGAGCAAGACTGACTGAGAATTGTCGAATTCTCTCTTCACCCGGCGTAGAGCTCCTTATTAGAGCAGCAAGTCCCGGCGGAGGTTGTTGCATCCAGCAGGGTCTTTATCGACGATTCCCATAGTCAGGTGACCCGAATCCCGCTGATTCGCGAGAAATGAGGGCCAATACTAGATGATGTTGAAAGGCGGAACGTAGTCTCTCCTTAACCGGGTGATGAAGACGCGGTAGCATATTGAGGGCTGGGGAGAACACACTCGGAACTTTGAACCCGCCACTGCCTTCACACCTAGCAGGCACCGATACAACTCCGCGAGGAAATGTCCCGCGTCTGGAGGGTCCACGGGCCGAAGAAGGTCGAAAGAAGCTGTATCGTAGTCCCGAGCATTTGCGTTCGAGTTTCCGATAGCTACCTTTGTCGAGGTCTGACTTTCCACGAGCTGAGGCACAGAGAGGAATCTCTGGAATCTGGAGCAGGTGACCTCTTCATGCCGCGGAATTTTGCGGGAGTGTCGCTCTCCAGGTCGGATCTTGGGGAGCGAAAATCGCAGGAAAGACCGAGAAAGGAATTGAAGTATTTTCCGGCCATCTTGAGCCAGTCGACCGGATATAAACATCAGAAGTGAATCGAGAGAAGTCACGAATCCAATTCGCGAAGCCCCAAAACTGACCTTCAGGAAGACGTCGACACTCAGCGAACCTCAGACATAATGGGCTCTCCAGAATTTGTGAAGACGCACACAGCTCCCGCATGATGTATTGAGCATCATTGAAATTACGGGCTGTGTGGTCTGGGCGATTTCACTCAACAAACGAGCTTTTTCACTGAGATAAGCTTCGCGCCGCCGTCCACTGGTTCAATTCTGAAGGACCCCCCGGTCGAAATCGGCGAGTATCCCACGATCTAATACTTCGCATCGCACTAGTTGCGTATTAAATAAACAGACGGACTGAGCTGACCCCGAGATTGTGCGCACGTCGGCTCTGTCGAGGAAAACGTACGCTGCCCTCATGAGCATGGCATCTATATCCCACCGGCCAGACCATAATTCATCCATCTATCCTGAGAATCAAAAACAAGTAGGTACATCAGAAATATTGCCGTCAGATACATTTTCCCCCGGAGTTTTCTCCCTATCCACTTCAGAAGCACAATTGGACAAGCCAAATACTGCGCGCTGAAATACGACTGACGACTTCGAATAACACGATCGGACCTGCTCACAGGATGATAAACGATAGAACAAGAGAACAGGGTTGTTCTTCTCTGAGATAAGATCTACAGGCGGCCCACCCTTGTAAGATCCGTCGTGGGAAGCTACGGTGGATAGCTATGAAGTCGACAATTTCTGAACAACGCTCCCCCAGTTGGAAATAGATTTGGAATCTATGATCGTTCTCATTTATCTTATTGGCTGTTTTTGATATCTCACTTGAATGCGTCTTGCATAATGTTCACCGAAATGTGATCCTTTGTCGCTCGGGCACAAGACCGACGGGTTTTGAGTCGTTTGTTTGCCGATTACTATTGCGAAAATCACAGAAAACGGTGGAAGCCGCCCGAGACAGAGGAGCAAGGAGCAAGGGGTCTTTCGTTCGATAAGATGACAACATTTCGAATCGAGGAAAGCGCAGATCACCGAAGCTCTTCGCGGCTCATTCAGTTTTTTTCGAATTCACGCTGCGGACCTCCGTGTGGACATGTTTGCTCGGGAACTCCTTCCCTCTTCACTATTTTCCGTTTTCAGTACGCCGCTGACTGATAATGGCTTACCGCCGAGTTGCAAAAATCATCCAAAGCTTCCCAACTTTATTGGTCAGATGTTTTTCTCGGTCAATCGGAATTACGTCAATCATGACGTGCGTTATTCTTGGATCTTTCGACGATTCCGCGGTTTTTGTTGACGGCACGCCTACAATCAATTACGCGAGCCCAGTAGTGAATGCGGCATCTACGCAAAAAAGTTCCGTCGGAAGGACTCAAGAACGCAAACATCGGCTCGGAATCCAGCGACAAGTCATGACCACTTCTTCGGACGCATCTCTGGTTCTTTAGGATCTCCGGATACATCCAACGAATCACGGTTTAGCGCGCTCAGCGGCACATCCGGAGTATTTCATGGGTCGTCAGATGAATGCGTTACTTCGATGAGTATGCCAGGACGGGCGGGATGAGACATTCAAGTTGATAGTACGAACGGGTCGCGTATTAGAAACACTTAAGCGAGAATTGTGTCGTCTGTTTTGGCGAGCCCGTTCGGGCAAGTAGGTACTAAGAATGAAATCGTGGAGATGTTGGAGTTATGCTGTAGTTTAGCGCTTTGTTTTTTTCGGCTTAACGGAACCTTCAGAGTCAAGTGTTCTTCGTTTTTGTCTTTTTTGATATGATGACGCTTTCGCGGCCAACAAGACGAATTCTGCATCTATTGTGCGACGGATCCGCGTCTCATTATGGCTGTTACGTGCTGGCGAAATCGTTGATGTGAATAGTGCAATCCAGGACGATTTTTGACGAATTTTATCCGAAGCGATCCGCAATTTCGTACCTACTGTTGAAAAATCAATGCAAACTAGCATAGATGGTGCTGACTCACCAACTATCCTAAATTCACGGCTTGGACGGGAAGATTTTCGGGACTGGCTGGGAGATCGTGAGAGGGGAAAAGTATTACGGGAGAGGGCAGAATTTCGAGCCTCACCTGGATATGAAACGCTTGTTGGCCAAGATGTCCCCGTCCCGATGTATTGCGGCGGAAGTCCGAACAATAATCCCAGAGGAGAAGCGAACCAAGAGGGCACAACAGTTCGATGGCTGATGTCTTCCGTGAAGCTCAAAGCTTCTCCTTCCCTCGTAGCTGCTCACGGATCGCATGGAATCAAACGACACATTGTCATCGGCATGAGTATCGCGACCTAAACCAATGCATTCACAGCATATTCTCACCTTCTGGGGACGTAGTCTCGGAGCGGTCCCCCGCGTGCCCAGCCGCTAACAAGTCTTTGATCAGAAAAGAAGTCTTCGAAGTTTCTGATTTACTCATTGCAATCTCGGGTCCTGGCCTGGCTCGAAAGAGAAGTTTTTTCCACATCGAGACGACTCAACGCGACCTCCAACACCGAGCTTCCGGGATCTCGCTCGAAGTTTCAGAAGCTGAAGCTCAGCCGATCACTTCGGAAACCTGTCGACGCCTCTGATTCCATCGGACGCCGTCATCGAGTCGGCTGACGATGGAAACAGTTTCAGACTCAATTTTCATTCGCTTTTCATAACACGAACTCTGAGAGCACTTCTCCAAAAATTGAAATATCTTCAAACGTATTCAGAGTAGGAGGAGTTTGCGCATGCGCGGACGCGATCTCGAGCCGGAGATTGCAAGCAACGCCCACGAAGGGCTTCTGAAGGCAATGAGGAGCTCTATCTGAACCCCAAATATTTCTGACTGTCTTCTTCCATTCGACATTTCCGGATCAACTACATGAGCGTTCGTGTCTTCCTTAATAAGCGGGAGCAGCTCGCCCCATGAAACCGAGACTCTCACAATCCGTCTCTTTGGACCCCTCGGCCACGCCATTCTCCTGAATCAAGGATCGGAAATTTCCGGAACCTCACAGGACTGGCGGTATTCGTGCCGAAATAGATCAACGCACACGTTCCCGCGCAGAGCTTCTTCCCTCCCGGAGGGAGCTCGCCCTCAAAACGTTCCAGGCGATCATGGAGTTTCCTCCGACCGCCATGATTCAAAATCGAACTCGAGTCGGAGGCGGGGCTTAGACCCAAGAGTAGGAGGAGACAGTCGGCTCTGACCGAGAGAGCGCTAGTCCGGGGAGATCGTCTCCCGACCCCGGGCGTTGACGCTTTGGGAGTTCAACAACGCAAACGCGTTCAATATCGAATTCTATTTTAGATAAGGATTCCCCCTTTTGCCGCTTTGCATTCGGTGGCGTTTTTGCTCGTCGACAGACTCACATAGATGTATTATTTTGGATTCTCTCCCTTTTCCAGTCGATGGAGTTTTCCTCTCTTTTTACTTTGTCCCTCCTTCGAAAGTCGCTTACTCGTTAAATTGCTTTCTCCCCGTCACGTGACAACAGCAAGTACGACGACGTGCGTGGCGAGCGAGCGAGAGCTCACTGCACTGCGCCCGCCATGGAGTTGCAGAGCAATGGAGCATCGGTATCATATCTGCTGCCCGCTCGATCTCTCGAGCTCTTCGATCGATTTTCACTCTGGAGCCAAGTCGGTTTAAAACCGATGCGAGAATTTAGGCTCGCGGTATTCTCGAAATCGAGTCGAAGATGATGAGTAGACTCGATCGACTTGAAACTCTTCGGTTTAATCGCAAGATGCCGCCTGGTGGTCGGGCTGGGGAATCAAACAGTCAGACATGCAATCGATCTGTGTGTCTCTGTGGCCGTCCTGCCAACTCGCTGACCATCAGTGGCCGACTAGTGGTAAGCGATCCGACCGACGAGCCGACTGAGCAACGAGTCGTCGGCTCGTTGTCAATAACAAGAACGTCGATCTGAACCTCAATTACTGATATGGCCTCGAGTGTGACATTTACTATCAAGGGCGTCGTCACCCAGTACCGATAAGCGAAGAGCTCGATATAAATGACATGACAGTGTGATAATTTTCCCTCGCGTCTAATGAAACGTAATTCGGCTTCGGCGGACCGGTAGCTTTCGGAGAAGGGTGCCATTATGCGGCTTCGTTTCGACGCGTCGACATGGAAAATAAATTCAGAAACTGTAGAGAGTGAGGGTAGATGAAAACGGCACGAGAGAATCGGGTTTGCGAAGCAAGCCAAAAAAGCCTCTTACGCCACCGACTTTATTGAGTACCCCCGCTTTTCTTTCAGACGATACAAAATATGCGCATGCATCATATGAGAGCTATTTACAAGAAACTTGAGTTTAAAGAGATCAAATCGAGCCAGTCGACCACATGAGGGCAGCAAGTGGACGGAGTTTCTAGAATAAACCGCGACGGGCTTTTCGTCTGGTTCGGCTCAGTTCAGCTTCGTTGTGGATTCCTCGTACGTGATTCCCTCGACCCTCAATCGCTTCAGGATGGGCTTGTAGATCTCGCTCGCCAACGGTAGGATCATTCCCTTCTGCTGGATCTCGCCTGTAGACAAATTGATATCAATCCCCAATTGGCATCCGATATTTATGATAGCAACCATAATTGTTACTGTGTCCTCCGGGAAGATGCCGCCGTTCAGATTGAAGACGCGCTCTCAGATCCCTGAATCAGCGAAATCATCTCAAAGCTACCCTCTTACCCTCAAGTATCATTTTCGAGGCGATGGCGCACGGGTAGCCCACAGTTTTCGCCATCGCTGAATATCCACTCGGGTCTCCATAAGCTACCATATTGACATGGCGCATCTCTCGTTGTCCGTCCAACCATTCGATGCCGATGTCATGCCTTAGTATGACTAGATCACGCTCCCCAGGCTCTAGATCATTGGGCGTAAATTAGAAATCGAGTCAGTACCACCCCTGGACTCTCCTGAATCTGATCTCGCCTGAGGTCTGCGATTCCTCGATATATGTTCTCGATTTGAGGACGGCTTCACGCGACTGTCGAGTACTCACGGAAGGAGAGTTTCTTCGATAAATAATGAGTCAAGGTATCCATAGGGGTGTTCTTCTTGTCGATTGGAGTGTCCGAGAGTAATCCGAGTTTATCGAGAGCTTCCACGCGCTGAGAGTCTCGTCCAACATTTTCAAAAATCAGGTTTTTCACGTTGCTCGTGAGAAGATCTTCTTGCTGTCCCATCAAGTTGCACAGGAATTGTTTCTGTAAAGAAAAAACATCGGTCGACATCGCATCGGGATAGATCCCTACTACGTATAATGCTGAGGGATGCAGCGATCTGCATTCGATAGAGAGATAACACCACAACTCGGGGTCCGTTGCAGACAATCTTTCGAGAAATCGGAAAAATCGATAGAATCCGACCCATGAAAGCCCTCGTTTTCTATTACAGGAACATGACGAGACAAGGGGGTGATTAATGGAGAATATTTTAGAAGCAAGGTAGAAATCCGTTTAATGTTTTTTTAATGACGCATCCGCGTATGTGATTCCGCGGAACTATAAATTAGGCGAGGAGGCTCTGAACAAACAAGTGCGCGAGCGAACTAATGAACGAAGAACACACCACACAGAAGGAGAAAAGAGGGCCGGACATTTTCGAAGTAAAGCACTGAAGTTCGTTTTCGAAACGATCGTTCGTACCCAAGTAATTTCAGGTCCTCGGTTGTGTAGGGACGGATGGGGGTCATCGCTGAACAGACCCATCATATGGAGACCTTTCGTGACATTGCAGAAACCTTTGTAGCGGAGTGTTCCTCGGAGAACGGTGGCGGCGTTGCTGATTCCGTAAGTGTCCTTGTAGATAGTGGAATCCCTGTTAGGGTATCCCTCAAGGGCGAACCCAGGCAGAAAGTCGATATTATGGACGTTGTCCAACAGGGAACCGCCGCTGGCAATTTCGTACACTTGGCCGTCCCGTAGGTACCGCGCCCAGCCCATCGTTCCGATGAGCGCTGAACGGGGGCTCCAGCTGAACTTGTACCTGCATCGAAAACGCCGTTATTTCCCTGAGCAAAAGGCTTGAATGTGATTTGTTCTTGAAAATTCTGAAGGTGCCTCTCGAGCAGGAAGCGTGTGTGCACATTTACCGTAGCGGATTGTCGCAGTGTTCGGGAGCCGGGAGACCTCCGCAGTACGAGACGAAAGAAGTTATTTTACCGCCATTCAATCGGACCTCGTCGAAACACTCCATCGCGAGCAGATGATCGATTCCAGGATCCAAGCCGATTTCGTTCATGACCGTGATGTTCGCCTTAACAGCTCTGGGGGAAGATCACGCTCGTGATTGGGGATATCTCCGAAGGAAGCAAGAAGGAGAATTTGATCTCGCGATGGAGGGAATATTTTGAAGCGGCTCGACGCAAGACTCACTCGTGATGGAGTTCACGTAGCTCGGGTAGTAGGTAGGAGGCCGTGACCATGTTTGTCTGGTGTTCTATGCACAATTCAGCGATTTTCGCGTGTAAGGAGTAGGGAAGCAACGAAATGACGAGATCACTGTCCTTGATTTGATTCGATAGACCGCTGACCGATTCATAAACGTCGACGACCGTGTAGTCGGCGTTGGAGTATTTCGCCGCTAGATCTTCTGCTTCCTTCTGGATCGCCGAAGCTGCGAAGATATTTGATTGAGACTCTGACATTCGGTCCCGAAGCAATTCCGGACGATCGCGAAAATGATTCGATATCCTGCCATCTGATTTGATTGAGTCCGAATCACTTCTTACCCACGGTGACCTGAACGTTCTCATCTCGGCAAAGGTACTCCACCAGAGGAGCAGATACATAGCCGGCGCCGAGCACCACAACTTTCTTCTGAGGCTTCGTAGAAGTCGTGACTTTCTTCATTGACCTTGAATTGAAATAACAAGTAGCTCGTGAGAGAACGCTCAGCAAGTACCGGTGGTCGGACAACTGCTATGGGCGAGACAAAGTCCCACTGAGCTTAGGCCTGCCTATGCATTGACAGAAAGAGCGTGACTCTTATCAGATAGATGGCCAGTGGTCGCAGACGGAATCGATGATGGCTCAATCCCGGACTGAGATTGGCAACGATGATTCATTTGACATTTATTGGCCCACGAAGCGCCCCTCGAGCGGCAAAAGCGGAGTCATCACTTCTGATATTTCTCAATCATGTCAGATGTTCTTACTTTGATGTTTGTCTCAATTCCGCGATGTACTCATAGTTATCTGTCAGGGAGCCATTGCTCGTTATGATGGCGTTCCTGACCACGTGAGACATCTTAGATTCGTCGAGGGCTTGTTCGGCGTCGGAGTTGACCTGCACGGATTGGCGTCATCGATGAGTGGCTTTGGTTTTTTCATTTCGGAAGAGCTTTTTCCCAGTCAAAGTTCTCAACTCACGATTTCCCAAATATAGGGCATCAAAAGGTACCCGAAGTAATCGGTGGCCTCAAGCGGGAGCTGTGTAGGCATGTTGTCAATCGAGCAAACGAGTACTCCGGGTCCGGAGAAACTGCGGAAGGCAACAGAGGGATCTCGGTGAGCATCTCGTCCCGTTGTCGCGAAGTCCCAATCACCTTCCGCTGTATCACGTAATATTTCTCCACGGAATACGAATACCTCTCTCGACTCCGGTGCTGGTCAGCATCGTAGAGACAGAAGGGGTAGTCAATTGTTGTGCACTCCGTCATGAACTCGATGGAGCCTCCGGGATCGGCAGAAATATCGCAAATAGCGAGGAGCCTATGCGGCAGCGAAGGCGATCCCTCAGACGATGGTAGCCATGGCGTGTACGTGGGTTGGAGGATTCGTTTCGCGTCTGGTATCGTTACCAACTTTGGCGAATTGACTGCCCAGTAGATACCGTTCACAATGACCGAGGCGTATGGTGCAATCTGAGGAAACGACACGAAGAATCAAAGCTCTTGATCCAAACCCTTGTAAGGAGCCTCAGATTGCAGAGCTCGAACGGAAAAACTCACATCTTTCGCGAATGCAGAGTAGTATCTCTCCGGGAACTCTTCGCATTCCTTGTAATCGAAGCCTCCGTCGCTGACGCGCTTCCAGTGATCCTCTCGGCTAACAACGGCTCCGTAGACTTTGTTTATGGCTGCATGAAGAGTGAAGGTTGTTTTTCGTGAATGGAATATGACTCAAAAGCAGCGAGAATGATTTTTCTAGGATCACCATCGACTCTGGGAGGGGAGAATTCATCCCTCAATTTCCTTACATCCGGCTTTCGCTACTTCTGCCAGATCCTTCGAATCGACGTATTCGAATGGGAGCTCTTGGAAAACCTCTTGGGCGCCCTGTGAGAAGCAGACCGCCATCAATTACTGCCCAAAGTGTTTAATAATTCTTTTTTGTAACCATGTGCGATAACACCCTGTGCCGATCCCGCTATATTCTCGTTCTTCTTCTCCGCAGTCGGGAAAATGAGATAAGACGAGGTTGAAGTGGTCAGCGCGCGTTCAGAATTTCACCGAACCGCAGTGCCAAGGTGAGGGTATATTGTCTGATCCGAACAAAAGGCAATATCGCTTCGACGTATGGAGTTTTCTTCTGACCGATCGAGTGATTGAATTCTCCACTGTATCAGTAACGCCTTCCCTTTTTCAATCAGACAATCCTACTAATCCCGATCGGACTCGTCGAGGTCGATTCTCGACACGATTTCGTCGGGTACTTATTCTGTGGATAAACAATCCTCCCGCTAGGACGAACCTGCGACACGTTCCCAGATCCTGTGAACACAATCGAGAGGGGTCCGATCGAACGGGGCATCATGCCCAGGGCGATTTCATAACCCGCATCGCGAACAGCCTGCATGCCCATACCGCTGTTCCGGTAGTTGTGCGCTGGGCCGATGTGCTGGAAGAACACCAACGCTGTGAGCACTCAGCCAGAGCGTGGAGATACGAAATTGTTCTCGCCTATCAACTTACCATGAACGGCGTGTGATGACCGAGGGCCAGGAGTCGGAGACCGAGACCGTGCAGGATATTTATCATGCCAGCTTTTCCGGCATATTTCCCGAAAGCGACCACGCGCTGCCCCTTTTCGTCGCACATGCGCTCGTAGTCGATCAGACGGACGTTCTATTCGGGCGGAATATGTGAAATTTTCAGTAGATCACAGAGTGCTTCTCATAGATGGTGAGTGCGAGTTTCATAGAATAGAATTGAGGTGTCTTTTTTTCTCCGATCCACGAGACCTACCCTTTCTATACAAGCGTCCAGCAAGGGCATGTTAGCCTCCTGACCTTTGATGGTATGCGAGAAGAAACAGTAGGTTTTATTCGGATACAGCTGATCGACCGGGACCTGCTTAACGCCGATTATGACCGGAGCTTCACTAATATCCTCTTGGACCACGGCTCCTGCATGTACGTAGCTCTGCAGAGGATACGCTCGTCGATTCGAGGGCTGAATGAGAACTCTGACGCCGGCTTTCGTGAGTTTACGGACGTGTTCGGGTCCGAGGGGGGCGCGTCTTTCCCAGACAGACTGGTCCTCCCGTCGAATCGCGAGTGTCTGAGAATCGAACAGTGTAGTATTTTACGACATGACTCATCCCGGCCTCTCGCCCCAGATCTGGTCCTAGCCGAATATAACCGCAGCAGCTCATACAGACGGTCATCAGTAATCATGATTCAAACATGATTGTGATCGGCATCCCCATCGGCATATGATTACCCATCGGCATCCCACGGCCCCAGCGGCACCGCTCCCCTTTGGTTAACTCACCCGAGCATTTCCAGTATGTTTCCAGGCACACGGGACTCCGAGGGAACTCCGCAAAGCCGCGAGGTTCAGAGGCCGCTTAGACCTCAACAGAGGGATCATATTTCAGTAGAGAGGATGCGCACGTTTTGATTGACGTTCTATTGCTTACGGTTTCTGAGTTCTGTGTGTTCTGCCGAGATTCGCGGTCCTCTCGCGCGAGCTTGTGGCGAGGACGAGACGTCTCTATCGTGCTCGCTATCGAAGATCTAATCGGTTATCTGCTGGAGCGACTGGTCCCTCATAAAAGAGGGCTCGGTCGGATTCTATACGGAGGCGAAGCCTTCCGTGGTCGCATTGTAGCGGGAAGAAGGTGAGGAGCTGGAGACAGAGAGCGTATCTCGGCGAATGAGTGGAGAAATCTCGATGTACGAAATAATGGAGAGCTCAATGAAATCGAGGCATTCCGAGCCTCTCGAAAGTCCGCGAATGGACATTCCCGCGGCGGTCGGCGGTCACCTTCAAGAGGTACCATTCCACAAAGGTGTACGAAAACGGAGTCGACAAGGATAGCTGTTTTTCTTCATTGGAATCTCGAGAGAGGCGAGAGTCGAGCCCCATAATCACAAATTTTATACGGGTCAGGCGAATCTCCGGAGAATGAGGCGGGACGGACATTCTCTCGTCTTCTCCCCGATAATTAAGTCTTCGATGCGCAAAACTCTCCGTCTTCGCAATGAGTGAGAAAGCGCCATGAGTCCATCAACGATAGAAATTCCGTACGCGGATTGTCCTTTTCGGTGGACCAGACCTAGAAGAGATACCAACTACACCGCACAAATCGGAGATTAGATTAATGAGACGCTTCAGACGACTCGAGGGGAAATTCGTGATTGGAAAAGCTCTCGAAGAGAATAATCGATACTTCCGCGAGCCAGCGTCATTGCTTCGACGGAACGAGTCCCCGCAAGGTGAAGAATCATCCGAGAGATGCTGTGCGATAGGAGTCTGCCCGTCCTCACTTTTCCTCTCGCGTAAGCTATGGGCTATGGATGTTCCTAAGTGAGAGAAGCTAGGAGTTTCCTTCTCACCCGTTTTCTGCCACTCGATGCTGGGAGCCTGCCCGCAGGGAAAATCGTTCAATAATAACTCTTCACTTCTAATCGTGAACATGTTCCTACAATCATCTGCTGGAGATCTACATGCAGCCGCTCGATGAGGGTCCGGGTCCGGACCCACCAGCATATTTCCGATGATAATGAGCCAGTCTGATCGAGCAAGGGAACGACAAGCTGAATATCATCACAGTATCCTTCCCACTTCCAAGCCTCCGACCTTTCTGCTCGCTCAGTAACCACAGTGGAACGATTACCTTATCTTACGTGTGCGAAACGGAATCTGCAGGCGAAAAAGACAAACAGTCACACTGTAGAACAGAAGAAGCAGTGTGACTCACGAAGGATCGGAAAATCGATCGTTGCTTTGTTGACGTATGCGGGTTCCCGACATCTCGTTCCCTTCTACGCATATTCTCGGATCTTTGCAGACACCTGTTCCCTCGCATTATAGATAATTACAGCAATACGTATGCGCATATCAATGTCAACGACGGGTCTCAGACGGAACGAATTTTCACGCTTCGTTTCCGATCTCGGATTGAATTGGAAGCCATCGCAATTCTAGCCGTAGACTGTTTGAAGGAGAAGAAAATACGACTGAAAGTCACGACCGTAAAGTTTTGTACACAAAAGGCTTGGCGTTATCAAACGCAGCTAGTCGCCAAAGACCTTCGATGATTATTGTGCGATTTCGGTGACATAGTTTCGTAGAGACGGCGGAGCATCTCTCCAAGGTCGCCTGCTCATTCTGGCAAACCCCGCCGCTATCCGGAAACTGAACTTTGGAGGAAAGTCTCTTTTCAACGGGTGCAGGTTTCGCGTTTCCACCTTCAAAGCTCAGCTGTCTTGTTCGATCGGAGTGATGACTTCGGCAGAGGGTATGATTTGGGATTTTCAAGACTTCCACTCTCGTGTCTTCGGTTCCGCGATAAGAAAGCGCAGAAATCATGTCGGAGTCGCAGCTGAGAGGGGAACACATGACGCTCAGCAGGAGCGAATTTCCGTCGATGAATCCTCGTGGTCGCATTCTAGGGAATAGATTCCTTTGCTCTTCCGAGAGGCCCTTGGAAAGCGTCAAGTTTACTGGATAGTTTCGCTCCGTGGGCTACTCGTTGCGAGTTTACTATCGAAGAATCTCAATGATTAGATTTCGATCGATGTCCTCGGGATGCGATCATATGCGTCATAATGACTGCAGGAATCCTCTCGCTTCCGAGAATATCCACGAGATGTCATTCGCTCGATTGCAGATCCAACCGACTCACCCAGTGACCTCAGAGATGGAGCTGCCCCGAGGAAGCAGATCCCGAATCCGCTCTGCTCGGATAGACCTCTCGCGGACAATCGCGGAATCTCACGGAAAACCGGAAGCTTCCGCTCGCAGACGGTTCAAAAAAATGATGCTCGAGGGGAAGTCGTTCATACAGCCAACAGGCGCTGGCGACGCGCCGGGGAGTCCCGTAGAGATTTCCCCATGCTGTGCTCGTGGATTTAGAGTAAAGCGTCTACCTAGATGCTCGGGATCTCCGGTGGAGCAGGCAGAGTCGGAAACACATGTTCTAATCCTTTCACCATCTGCTGGAGCTCCTGGTCTCGGAAAAGGGTACGAGCAATTATATAGATAATGATGCAAGATGATTTTTCGCGGATGGAGCTGAAAAATTTCTCGTACGGAGGTGAAAGTGGGAGCCCGATTTCCCGCGTATTCTAGCGATTTGATCTTCTTCCGTAGCTATTCCGACAGACAACATCAATCTATGAGATTTCGCTCCAGAAAATCAATACAGATTTCCGACTCTAGTATTTCTTAGCTCATCACGGAGAGAGCCGGCGCGATTGAGCCAGCGCCAATTTCGGGTGGGAGAAAAAGACTGACTTTTTAAACCACCCCGCCGAGCAGCCGCATTGAAATCATATCATTGAATCAAAGAAAATAATAAATGTAGCTCAAATCTAAAGAGGGGTTCGTAAGAGTCGGGTATGGGGTGCGGAGGGCGTCGATTCAATCATTAGTCCACTCAGCAAGACGGGCAAGGACGCACCACAGACATATAAAGTGATAGAGTCTAAAGCCAGCTTCTTGTTCTATCACGAGACCTGCAGATCGATTATCGGGTCCATGCGTGTACCAAGGGGGCTCAAATCACAGAGGCAATCGAGCAGATTAGGTCCCAGTAAGCCGAAACCTCCTCGTGGTATGGCCCTCACTCGCTATGTTGGATCTATTGTGACTGCCTGTATTGATACAAATATTCACACAAATATCGATACATATAATAAAAAGACGTCTGCAGTACATTTGTATTGTCCAAGCTGTCAAGTGTCAAGCGTCCGAAGGTCCCTTCAAGTGTTTGAAATTTCGCGCCCGAACGCGTGCTGTCTGCTCTTGATTGCTGCTGCTTTCATGTTCTCCATCTGACCGGGGAGCTTCGAAGAAAGTCCGTGTGTTGTTGCCGTCATTTCCAATGTTCCCGGAAATACGACTCCTCTCTCCAACGCTCGATCCAACTCCATGAACAGAAGTCCGATGAGCTTCTGGACGACTGAGATAAGCTAGCGGTCCACGCTGTGTCGACTAGTGCGATCCGAAGACCCGAATTCGAACAAACGAGCCACGTCTCGAGATGGCGGTGAACGTCGAAGATCAGACCGAGCAAACTTCAAACCGTAACGCCTTCATAGCGATCTCCGCGATTTTCCTCTTATCTGGCATGGGACTCTACACGGTGTATCTATTCTTCCCCGAGATGGAGCCTGAGGAGAAACCCTACGTCACTCTGCCGACGAGTCTCGAATCCGCCAAAGATCTCGGACGCGTTTTGTCGAATTACACCGACGACAATTTCGCCATGGTTCTCTTGGCTTTCTTCTGTACATATATTTTCCTTCAGTCCTTCGCGATACCAGGATCTATTTTCCTGTCGTTCCTCTCTGGATTCTTGTTTCCGTTCCCACTGGCTCTCCTCACGGTTTGTCTGTGTTCGGCGATAGGAGCCTCTCTGTGTTATCTAATTTCGTATTGCGTCGGAAGACGCCTCATCATGCACTACTTCCCGGACAGAGTCGAGAAATTGAAAAAGCAGGTGAGTTGGGCGGACACATTATGGATTTCGTCCGAATATAATCGTCAGACGCTCGTATTCGAACTCGGCGAGGCACCCCTCTCATGAGTGATTTTCGTTCCTGTCGATACTGACTGTCGAGACATCCACGCCGTGTTCCGTACGAGTATCTTTCCTGGCCTAGGGATCCCTGTCCTTGCGAGCAGCAGCTGTCATGGAATCCTACGACTGACCGTCTGATTTCCAGGTTTCAAATCACGAGAACAACATGCTTTACTACATCATCTTCCTACGGATAACTCCGTTTCTCCCTAATTGGCTGATCAACGTCGCCTCTCCGATTGTGTCGGTCAATCTGGCGCCCTTCTTCCTCGGGACATTCCTGGGCGTAGCACCGCCGTCGATATTGGCGATTAGAGCAGGAATTTCGCTGCAGCAACTTGCGTCCGCGAACGTCATGTTCACGCTCGAAAATGGTCTGTTGCTCACAGGGTTCGCAGTCCTCTCCATGATACCAGTGGTGCTGCGCAATAGGTTCAAGAACAAATTCGAATAGGTGAATTCCATCAATTGAGTATCTTGCACATGTTATCGTTGACTCCTATCATAAGAGATTGAGAGTGCGGAGCCTCAGGAGGTCTGAAAACTTGAAGAACCGAATGATTGGCGGATCACTGTTCCATAGATAGCTGCAAATGAATTCGATTCGCCGTCTGAAGTATTGTGATGTGAGGGAATATTCAAAGCATTTCGGCACGAGAGCGCACCAGGGACAATGTGGTATTGTTCCGGTATGGGGAGGGTTTGCATCGGTCTGAAGAATTTCGGTTTTTGGAATTTCTATCGTACCTCTTATTAGGTGAGGAGTGCTGAATGAGTTCAGGGTCTTCGATTCAATCCATTCTAGTTTGTACATATTTGAATAAACTAATCGTTGTTCGTTTATTCTTCTTTTTTCGCGTGGCTGATGGAAGACGGGCACAATCTCGCTCTTGTTGAATTGATGTGTATATTAAAAGTTCGTAAAATTCCACTCTTTAGAGCCTCCGATCATCGAACCGCCGTTCCGGCCTAGATGGGGGCCACGGATGTACATGTCGGAACATCGTATATGTACAAATGTACAGGATACGTGACTTCATAATATATGGTTGTATGGAGCTTGGGTGTGACTATCACCCCCAGTACCTTTTGTGATCTCGGCTCGTTCCCTTCGAGTGATCCCGGAGAGAAAGGACAATAAATTATCACCGAGGATTTCTCGAATCGAGTAGTCGGAAAATAGTCATATGCTGACTAGTATAATATGAACATAATTTCAAACTGCGCTAATCTATAGTCATGATTATAGTGGAAACATCGTGTCAGGGAATCTCACACCGCGAGGAGTCTATTTCCTGGAATATGTTGAAAGCCTGATCAGATATCGAGAACGTGGGGTCACAGAGTCTGCATATGTTCGGGCACCTACCGATGATAGGTAACGGATGTGATTCCCGATTCCGGAACCGTCGCAGCTGCAGCCTTTCGCGCCCGTGTTGCAATTCATTGACAGAACGTCCAGCGCGAGCGTTGTGAAGAGCACTACGGTCACACATCCGTGCACAGCGGGTACACCGACGAATCTGCACCAGCAAAGTACTTTCGGTGGGTCTTCGCTCTCACTTGGACTCAGTATCACGAATTATTCTCTGTGTACTTGGAAAAACCTACAAGTCGCCGAGATAAGTTTCGCTCAAATTCCATATTCCCCTCCAGAGGAATACCGTCGACAGCGATTGCAGTAACGACCAGAACGACTCGAATGCGAAACGGTACCACCAACTCACTCGGATCTCCACTCCTCTGAAAACGGAAAGAGGAGCTCTCATTGAGAAGTATTCGCTTGCGAGGTCGCTTGAGTCCGTTGGCATACGCGATAATTTTTCAATAAATCGAATCATATCATTCTGTCGAGGGATATCGTATTCCGCGCGGGTCCCGAACTACTTGGATCCTTGAGAACGGGAACGATTGTAGAGTTTACGCTCAGAAAATGAAAATCACTGACCGGAAGACTGTGTCCATGTATGGCTGCAGGCCGATGAGAATGAGAGCTGAGAGCCATCCGATGGAACAAGACAACAAATTCGATCTCAGAGCATGCGAATCGTCCGAATCAAACTCCAGCAGAATATCTTGCGGTATCCAAAGCGCTCGCCAGACCCCAACAACGCCAACGATGGAAACTATGTTCGTAAAAATTGCATCCAACGCAAGCCTGAAACCTCGCTGTAGGAAGACATTCTTAGTTTTCATCGATTCCCATCAGCCGTTTCGGGTCGGAAGAAGGAGGGGCGTGAAGCAAAGCATCCTCCCCCTCCTCCTCGTTCTTGAAAAGAGGAACCAACTACAGCGGTATTCTGGTCTCATAGAACTCTCGCTGACCTACCTTCTGCTGGAATCGTGTGGGGAAGTCGAACACTGCACCGTCACGTCGCGAAACATCATCGCTTTGCAAGAGAAAAGGTGGTGCGATCGCGCTTGTTTTCAAGGCTCCTGCTCCGGAGAGCAAAGCTGCGCCCAGCGAGAAAGACGCGATGCAAGACTTCAGATCAGTGCCGATGCGGATATCCATTATGGTCCAGACGCCCCTCCAACTCAGGATGGTTGCGAAGGCCACAACGATGTTGTACACGGAGGCCACCACAGGCAGAGCTGCGAAGAACAAGCGGATAGTGAATAAACGAAGCTCAAAATACGAGGGAAGGGCAGAGCATATTGCGTATGAAGTAATCGGGCTCAAGCAGGGACATTGAGAGGAGCGATCAACCTTTTCCAGTCGGTGAGACAGCGTGCTGCTTCAGGAAAAACTGACTCTGGCATAGCATTGTGAGCACGACGAAACCAATCAGGCAGCATATCAAGCTACTTTCAATGGTTTTTCCGGTGGCGTCGCAGATTTGCCAGGCAAACGCCCAATTCGCGATGACCAGTGGAGAGAGGATGAAGTGACATAGCAGGATGTCGACGACGAACAGGAGACGATTATCGACGGAGGTGATCTGATTGAATTCATTCACTTAGTGTCTGGATTCCTTCTACTTCCCCACGCGCGGAGATATAATGGCAGCGTTCTCAGGCAAGTCCCCCCGCCGGCCGCACCGGGCCAGTCTTGGCGGTTCTCCCGTGAATCAGATAATTAGGAAATCAGCCTGAGGCTCGAACTGTAAAACCATTGCGGATGCATCGGGACTAAACTTATCCTCTCAGATTACCGACTTCGTGCCGAAATGGTCTCGACCGGAGATCGCAGGACTGACGCGCTCTCTCATAGGTCACGGATGAGACTCGAGGGAACGCTCCGCGAATTCCAAAGTTCACGGCAGAGCTTCCAAAACCTGAGTGGAATTGCGAGATATTCGACCATTCGTCGGAAACTCTCGAGCCAACGGCGATCGATGTATCGAAGCGTGACATCTGGCTATTCGAACTCGAATGGTGCTCAGAGCGGTGGAATATAGCACGTGCCGGCGCCGCTGATCGGAATTTTCGCCTCCGCTGCTCGCTCGCGTCACAGCCGCGAGGGGACCGCTACGGAGCATGCGGCTCCGACTCGATTCTCTTGATCACCTTGGCTTTTTGCTCGGGGGACGAGGATCCCGATGATCGATACACGGTATCCTGTGTTGACGGCTTGAGTGGAGCGCAGCTCGACAAGAACTTGATACAAATTCACCCCGGTGCTACGCAAAGGCAAGACGTTCGCTGTCTCACCTTTGAGGGATAAGGCGCTGGCTCTTTCGTCTCACTGTAGATCGATGAGCAGATTTTGCTGACCATTTTGCGGGGATATTCGAAGTGATCGTTCGGCATCAGGTCGCGAACATCGTCACCAGGGCTCTGTCCTGCAAGGATTCCTGATTGGACACTTCTTCCAAGATGGAGATTTAAATTAGTGGATCCACCAATTTTCGCTCCCGATCCATGCAATCGTATCTTTCTCAGGAATACAAAATCAAGTCCGCCATAAATCCCGACCTATCCGAGTTTGACTGGGTGCTTCCGGGAGGATGGGGTAATAAAGTCCTTGGAGAGCGGCTCATTGATTGGTCGTTATAACGAGCTTTTACTGTATAGAGTCGGGCCGGATTTGACCAAATGAAGAGTATCGTTGAGCGCTCCCGTATGGCGTTGGAATCCTTATCTACCCGACACGTATTGCAAGCTTCTCTCGTATCCTCCTGGTTGGTGAAAAGGACGGGAGTATCCTTGACATCGACGGTCAACATTCGATTCCGCATTTACCATGTGCATATACGGCGATAGAGGAGCCCTGCCTGAGTTCGGACATTCCACTTGATCGACTCGAGCAGTGGAATTTCTTCTCCCGTGTCCCACGGAACAACGATCATGACATGCTACCCCGCTGGAAGCGTGACAGTGTATTCTTCCAGCGAGCGGTGCGAGTGCTTCTCTGTCCGTGCTCCCTCATGCGTTGCGTGGAATAATGACTCGCGCCACAGAAATTTTGTTAAACCTCCCCTCTATTAGAACCTCGGAGCAGTTTCTGATACTACTTTGAGATACTTTTCTCCCGAGAAGCCCCATCTTCGCGAATACAATAGAGAGGACATCTATACTTCAAAGCGGACGAGAATCGAGTGGAATCGTTCTCGACATGGGACCGGCCAGTGGAAAGCGGACAAACAGAATGTGCGACGCTCTTAGCGAAAAACATTCCACGGTTACGCGCCATCGGCGGCACGGTGTTTGAGAGTTTCAATGCGCTCGGGAGCTCAGTACTTTCTCCGCGATCTTTGATCTTCGCCGCTGTAGAAGACTCCACACGGACAACAATGTCCCAGTCAGATTGGAAATATCCGTATCGCCTCTCCATCAGCCAATCTTTGACATGAAGCTCAAGATTTCCGTCCACACTGCACTCGCTGTCATCATCCGATTTACGATGCGAGTGAAAACCATCATCCGAGCTTGACCTTAAATTTGGACGACATATTACCAAGGTGGATGATATTACCGAGGTCAACTATAAATTTTTGGTCGGTAGGAGTAGTTGAAATGTTGGATGGGCTGCCGAGTGCTAACGCAGCAGTATACACTTCTCGGCAAAACAAGACTTCCGGTTGGGTGCGCAACACCACGTTCGAGACCGCCAAATAAGCCGGCGGATCACCGTCCGAGCAATTGCTGACTTCAGTCGCACTCCCACTAGACAACTACTACAAGTCGTGACAATAGAGCACTTCCGTTCTCGACTATACAATTATCGAGAGCCGGTGAAGGCGCGAGAACGCCGTGATGTAGCTGACGATTGAGATGACCGAAAACCCACCAGCTAGAAAATCGCCGGGAGCCTATCTGTTGTGACGAATGCCTCAGATTTTTCGAGACATACGCAACGAGCATCACGGTTAAACAAAATTCGGAGGCGTCGACGAAATCCAGAGACCCAACATAGAGCTGCCCAGTGCGAGGTTTTTCAGTGGCAGCGCGAGAGAGTACCGATTCGCATTTTGTAGGAGCACGACTGTTGAAGGCTCTTGTCTCGCTGTCCGGAAGGCACAGAATAAATGCCGTCGGACCTGAAGATTCGATACTTTTGGAAAGTCTAACCTGGCGTGGTCAAGGTTGCTGCAGACCATCGAAAGGCTCCCTGAATCCGCAAGCGGCGAAGTAATTTGCCCCTGAGCCTCCTGATGGCACCATGGAAGCGTCGCTCGACTTGAAAGTTATCGACGTCGGATGGACACCGACATGCTTTGACCATTCTCGAGATTTTTGCCGATTGTGCGGTGCCGCTTAGAGAAGTCCTAGACAAGCCCGCAACTCGGTGCAACAGAAAGAGGAGCGACTGCAGTGCGAGGGAATGCGAACGACCGACTCGGTAGCAAACACTCGAATTTAACTCGCCATAAATAGCCCGTGATCATTCGAATCGCAGGCATACCGCAAGCAATTCCTCTTAGACGTTGTAAATTTCTCGAGACGTGTGCTTGTTTGTGTTAGGTCAGAGTGGATTCTCGGACTTACTCAGAAGGCTCTGTGTGCCTTGACAGGTCCCCTCCGACCTTCCGAGGTACTCGGAATCGCTGGTGACGGATCGCAGCCGGTGGTCGGCTATATCGGTTGTCGGAGCTCCGGGTCGGCTGCTTGACTCGCGTACCAAATCGTGGACATAAGTCGTCACAGTGCACATATCATACGTCAGCCAACTCTGTTCACTATGATTCTCTCGGTGAAGATCAAGGAATTTCATGCCCTTCGCCCTCTCTCACGTCCAACGTGAGGAAATGACAGATCCCTCACCATGAAAATCAAGCGACCCTCTCTTCTTATGTTCTGTGAATCTCAAGACCAGCACCGTGAAGAATCTATTGAGCGGAATCCTATAGAACTCAAGAGATCCCTCGTCTCTTCAGCTCACAACAGCTGAGAGTCTCGATCTTAGTGGTATACGTGGAGTTCTCGAATGGGATCATCGGATATCCATCAGGATGGCAGGACTCCTCACTCAGGGATGAATTGAATAATCCCCCGCTTTTTTTACCGACAACTAAGAATTCACCATTGAGTTTTCGAGTCGGAGGCGGCATACGATCCTTCTGAAAGGGTCTAATTAAGGAAACCCTGTGATATCGGCGTCAGACAGGCCAGGCTGTAGAGGCAACAGTTTTTTCGATATTTGCCCTCCGACACCCTGAAGACCCAAATAAATCACGCCTCCGCGAAGCAGGACAACAATATTTCACGAGAAATAATGCCCGCTTCTCCCCCTCGATCTTGGATCATCAACTACAGTACTACCATGCCAAATAAAGCAGAGTTTACTCCTTAAAAAAAAAAGTGGAATCAATGGTGAGAGGAGCATTGAGGCGTGATTTCGGGGTGAAAATTTTTTTTCCGCTGTCTGACGCTTTATTCGAAAGGTTTTCTTGCTCAGGCCAAAGCCTCTCAGAAATGCATAAGTGAACGTTTACTTGTGAGGGTGATCTGTATGACTACCTTGCGGGAACGTCGGAGCAGTCGGGGGACTGCCTTCGCCTCTCCCGGAATCTCCTGCTCCGCCGATCCACAGGGCTTGCATCATCTCTATGAGAATAATCACTTAGATTCGGTCTCTAGTACAAAACGCTAATGGGTTTCCAGACACTTGCGGATCGAGTATTAACGGCTACGTTACACCCGTGGTCGGGATACTAATATCGGCATGTGACATCGGAGTGAAATCGTTCCGTTGTTTTTTCAAGGTGATCCTTGCGATAGTACGCGGAATCACGAGGGGGGCCGAGAGAGAATGGCAACCGGTGGCTTTTTCCTTCGAGAGTAGTCAACGATCCGTTTTTCCAACAACAGAATCACGCGGAAACAAAACGCCAAAGCATGTTTTGTCGGCGGGAAATCGTGCGGAACCTCACCTTTGGAAGCCGATCCTCCGAGGAGAGGCACGAACCTTAGCTTCGAAAAAGCTTTTGAATACTCGGGCTCCTCGCAGCCGATTCTCAGAGCCTCGACCGGACTGACTCTAATACGCTCATCCTGCTTGCTCGGTGTAGGAAAGGGATTCCAGGTACGATGAGAGTGTCTCCGCTAGAAGTCTCTCCAAGGGAATGCGGTCGTGCGTACGGTAACCTGATGCATGTTTACGAACTATCCCTTTATTCGATTCGCCTCCGTATCAGTGGCGAGCGAGCATTCAGCCAGCTCGACCTCTCGACTGAGTAATTCAGGAGTTCCGACGAGAATAAACGATAGGTACCTCGTAAGAGACGACTGATTGACTTACAGAGCATGACCGAGGTCTGGAATGTGTTTCGTGGACTCAATCGGTACCCCCCATCACTCTGACCGTGGGCACCGCATGGAGCAATTCATACCGGGCATCCCACTCGGTTTCTTGTTCCATATGTTACTTCTAACCAGGGTGATTCGGTTTTCCGAGAGCCTCCCGTGAGAGCCCACAAAAATACTTCTAAGGTCTCCGTTTGAAGTACCCCGATTACGGAGTGGCACTCTCGACATGAATATCTTGCCGGTTTACTTTCCGTCCTTTCGTGAGTTCCCCATCAGCTGCCACTGATAAACTCCGTCCCGTCGCTCGGACTAGCGACTCATGCTCTGCATGCCGTCAAAAGACGTTTGGATTTTTTCGAGTGTTCTCGCTGCCTCGCTCCCCCGCATAGAGGACAACGATCCATAAAAGAAATGCGTCGCTCACGCCATAGATGAGCTACGGAGTCGGCCAATCACATTTTCGATCCACATTCAAGAGAAAACACTCGAAATACATTCCATCTCGGACAGGATCTCTCGATCCCGGCTTGCGGCTCGTTGCAGCGAGTATGGCCAGTGATGGCTCGCAATTGACCGGAACCGGCGATTGACCGCCACTGAGTTATCCGGATGATGGATTGTGAGCAGCGATCATACAAACGGATCGTCGGCCTCCTCACGTGGTCAACTCACCGTCGTATTCGATTTCCTCGCTGATCTGGATACATAACGATGCCATCCCCGCTCGCGCACGAGCTCAAATCCACAGGAAGCTGCGGCTCCGTCGATTCACATGGCGGGCGCTTGATAAACGTTCGACCTACCCGTCCGCGATGCAGGCTTTAGAATATCGGGGAGCCTTTGACATCGCCATTCTCATCATCGGATTAGGGAAGGATCCCTGGGATTCGTTATCCGCATCGCGCCTCCCATAGGGGGCTAATACCTAGCGTCGTACGGGCTGGAATCATATACACGTAGAGAGCTTGCTTTCGATACGTCCAAGGAACGAGAGGGAAACGGGGACCTCACGAAGAGAAAACCCATCGTGAGAATTCCCTTAATCCGACAGATTGTTATCCAAACAGCACAAGTCGGATGGGTGGAGACATTCAATCGAGCAGTAGTACACCGGGCGTTTCATTATCGAGTCGATCGAACAACCGAACCACGGACCGCCATGACCAAGGTTTGTCGAGGCGGGATAGAGCCTTTGTCCGCGACGATTTCCGGAATCAGTTCGTTGGAAAGATGCGGAAACGAGAAGAACAAATCCCAGTCCGTGTTTTACTCGCTTCAGAATATGCAGAGGAAGCAGGTCGTTTTAGGGCTGACCGGCGTTCTGCTAGGACTGAGCGGCGGCCTCATCTTCAAGGGAATGCAGCTCGACGAAGATATCTCGGGACTTCTAAGTGTACCCGGAGAAATCCTGCTCAGAATGTACAAAGTGCTCACGCTCCCTCTGGTTGTCTCATCTGTGATATCAGGTAAAGAGCTTCTGTTCAATCTACGACTCACTCCACCGCGGATTTCGGTGCTGAATTGAACTGAAGCCGAACGACCGAAAGCTGAAGATCTTTTGTGCCTTCTCTCATCCCTCGGTATATATGTACTCACATAGCTCTGAAGTGCTTGAGGGAGATAAGCGCTTTGGAGTCGTTCGAAATTCCTAAAGTCGAACCTTGGAAGGGAGAGAAAACTCGAGATGACTCTAGGGCGTCCGTCAAACATTTTCAAGAGCAGTGTCGGGAGCAACATCTCATTATCCATCTCGTATTTCAAAGAAACTAATCTCGCAAATCGCTAGCTCATTCCGCAACGTAATCAATCGAACTAACTCGATTCTTTCCTGCTCGAAATCCCAACAGCCATGGCCCGCGTTCAATTACGAACATCAGGCCGCATGTTCGTAATGATGATCCTGTATTATCTGAGCTCGACACTGAGCGCAGCTTTCATCGGCGTCCTGATGGTCGCGCTCGTACGACCGGGTGACGTGATTCTGCCAAATCGATCTGGAGACCCCGACGTCCAAGTATCAGGCTTAGACACCGCGTTGGACTTCGTAAGGTGAGAATCCACGAAATCTCCGGACGACCCTGGATAGCCAGAGCTTGCTTCGGAAGGGACACCAACTCTTCCCTCAGACACTCCAAGCTTCGTAAAAATTATTTCATTCCCTCTATTCGCAGGAACATGTTCCCGACAAATCTCGTGCAGGCATGCTTCCAGCTTCACCGAACTGTTCGCGTGCCCGAGTCTCCAGTCATCTTCAGCATCGGTCTGAATGCCAGTGAGCTACCGAGAGTCTTACGGCGAGAGTTCGAGTATTCAGACGGCTTGAACATTTTCGGTAAGGGGTCCAAGCGTCCGGGAGTCTCAGGTTTTTGAATGATTCCTCATTCGATTCCGCTAAAGCAACGTCTTTTCTGATAGCCTTTCATTCATTGAAGGCGTTATCTTCTTCTGCTCGGTTTTCGGCCTAGTATCCGGTTACATGGGCGGTCTGGCTCAGACACACGTTCAATTTTTCTCGATACTGAATTCCATCTGCATGCGATTGGCTCACATCATCAACTGGTTCGTCCTTTGGAATTTATTCGTCGAGCAGCAATCATTTTGTGCTTAATAGGAGTATACGGAGGCTCCCGATTTATGTCTATGAGATGGTCGTGCCGGTTCCAGGTATTTTCCCTTCGGTGTCTTGTTTCTTTTGGTACACTCGTGTGTAACTGGTGATGACCTCGGCGTTCACCTGGCGGACGTTCGCGTTTATATTCTGACTGTTCTCGTGGGATTGTTCGTGCATTCCTTCATACTTCTACCTCTCTGCTATTATTTGGTTGTCAAGAAAAGTCCTCTTGTTTTCGCCTGGAAGTGTTTCCAGGCAATCATGGTCGGTTTCGGTGAGTTTCGAGCGAGTCTGTAAAGTCACCGTGTTGAAGGAGGCTACCGGAGACCTTGCTGATAAAAGAACCAACTTTCTGAACTCGAACATTATCTTCGAGGTACGTCCGACAGCGTTGCGTCGGCGCCTGTGACGATATCATGCCTCGAAATGAGCGGAATCGACCGGAGGGTCACACGTTTCGTGCTGCCGATCGCGTGTGCCTTCAATCTCGACGGTACCGCGCTTTACGCAGCCGTCGGTTCGATTTTCGTAGCCAATCTGAACGGTATCCAACTGAGCTTCCAGCACTACATCATTGTCGGGTGAGCCGTTAATACCCGCGTAGATCTTGCCGATAGGCGAATCTTCACCTTCGATTGCTCTCTCGCAGTCGATTGTTCCCATATTCCTGGGATTAGAGCTTCGACCGCGTTTCCTTCTCAATTTCTCTCCACACGCTCGAAGCAGGTGATGCACTTTCACAATAATCACGAGCGCTTCTGTTTATTCTCGACTTGCAGAGTAGTTGCTGCGTTGACGAGTTTCGCGAATCGGGGGATACCCAACGCCGTCGTGATCACGATGGTCCTCGTGTTGCAGTCAGCTGGCTTGAGCGCTAAGCATCTGCCAGTGCTCTTGGCCGTCGACTGGATCATGTCAGTAGACACCATCCGTTCAATGCTCGAGAATTCCTCCGCTACATGCCAATTAGATTCACAAAGATTATTCCACTCAAATGATTCCTCCCTCTCCTCTCGAGAAATAGGAATCGCTGCAGGACAGCAGTCAATGTGTACAGTCAAGCCATCGCAGCGGCGGTTGTCGCCCACGCCGTTCGCCACGAGCTCGAGGAATCCGAAGACGCGCTCAGCCAACATCATTGGGAGCATGTTCATGACGTCGGCATCATAAAACGGCTACACTGAGTGAGTTGCGGCCTCCGATTGGCTGGGACGTCCCTGATTTACGTGAGCTAGCTCAGCTCGGGATCGTACGGCCCTCCGAGAGTCCATAAAGCGTGGATGACGGCCATGAGCCCCCTCCATGGTTATCGGGAGCGTTAATTATCTAACGGTTAACTTTCTTCCCGATCCGATCGGTGGGGGGAATGAGCCTGAAGATATCGGACTTCCCCCCGTCCCACAGGAACCCAGCAGCTCATGTGACTCGGAATCGGAGGCTCCATTCCGGCTCAAGCGAATATATTTGGAGAACTACTATCCTCTGAGACATCTCACCCAATATATCCATTATCCCGAAAATCTCTGTCAAATACCTCGAGTCATCGATCCGGACTCTCGGGAAACATTGTGTAGGTGTTCATATCCATGATCATCACATTATACATGGTCTTGGATCACAGATCTCTGCATTTTCTCAATCAAGAAGTCCCGGGGGCTCGATAATAATCACTAATCACGTATTCCTCCTAGTACAGAGAGAGTTCATCGAAGTGTCCGACAGGTTCACCAGAACACAGAGCTGTAATACGTATGGCACTAGGATATACGGAAGACGTCTCTCGATCTCATCCTCATGCCTGAATTCTTTAATCTTTCTTCCTCATCAGCTCGAACGCTTCACGGAGCTTCATTTTCGAAATCTTTCCGAGGGATGTCTTCGGGAACTCGTCTGTGACGATAACATATTTCGGAACCTTGATGCGACTCAACTGGAATAAGACACGCGAATGAGATCAATAAAGAATGGACAGGAGGCTCTGAGAGTGTCGCCGGAATCTATCAAGCATCTTTTTTGTGACTCTTTGAACTCACTTTTTTTGCTGCGAAGTCTCTGACGTGTTCCTCGGAGCATCCCTTGTCTGCACGGAGCTTGATCCAGGCGCATACCTCCTCACCGAGACGGTCGTCGCCCACGCCAACAACGTGAGCCTCGAGAATGCTCGGATGTTCCATGAGCACCGGTTCTATCTCGGCCGGGGAAATATTCACCCCTCCCTTGATGATCAGATCACTGACTCGTCCACTGACGATGAGTTTCCGGTCCTCGTTCATCGTGCCGAGATCGCTGCTCGAGAATGAGGGAAAACTTGAGCAACAATTTTTGAATGGCCTGAGACCCGTTCTCCTGAACTCCCAAACCCTTATCGGAACGGGGTTTTTCGACGTGGAGGAGCACAGCGAGAATGTATCCAGGTTTCCTGCAGGACTGGGGAACTTTCGGAAGAAAAGAGAAGACAAAAGTTTTTCTTCGGGCCGAAGTATATTCGATAGTTATAGACTCGCCCGCTCACCCTGTTCGGAACCATCCTTCGCCGTCCAGAACAGCCGTGGTCTTTTCTCGGTCGTTCAGGTATTCCTTGAAAACCGTAGGACCTTTCAGCTGAATCTCCCCTTTTTCGCCCGGGCCCGCTACAGAACCATTTTCTTTCAGAATCCGAGCATACGTCTCATCGAAGAGTTCGTAGCCTCTGAAGTCCTTTCCGTCCCCGAAGGAACAAGCGCCGGAAGTTTCGGTCAACCCGTATCCTGTCTGAGAAACGTTATACCATCGAGTCAATTTGGAATTCCACCGGGAAAGCTGGAATCTCCCCTATCTCTTCCATATTTTACCATAAAATCTCTGAGATTCAAGTTTGCAATGATCTCCGCTATCGCAGCGGGATGCAGCGTTGTCGCGCCTATCGTTCCGTTTTCAAGCGATGAAATATCGGTTTTCCCGAAGTCGGGAGATCGGAGAATGTCGTAGAAAGTGGTCGGTGTCCCGTGGAGTGTGGTGACTTTTTCCTCAGCTATTGCTTGCAACACCTTGAAGGGATTGATCGAAAAAGAGAGTTGCCAATTTTGTGCATTGAGTAAAGGAAAAGCCAAGGCCTGCCCGCTCAGCGAGAAAGGAATCAGGCGAAACCTTTCTTTCTTGTGAATAAAGAGCTCGCATATATATGTACATATATATATAGAAATCACCTCTCTCGGCTTCGGTTTCATAGATGTATACACGGTGCTGAGTCCATTGAGCGTATCGGTGGCCTCGATACAGATATAACCGAACGAATGGTATAAGGGCAAGCTAGCCAGAACCAGATTCTGGAAGTACAGTCGAATCATCGATGGCGATTCAAAGATGAGTCGTCGAACATGATACTCTTGAAAATCAGGATCAGAGTCGATGGAACTGCCAGAACATTTTCGGGCTGGAAGCTCCTCGCCGCCGAGGTAGGCGAAATCGACGACACTTACGGATTTCCGTAGCCGCATTCTCCTATAATTATTGTCGGAAGCGAGGACGATATTTCTGTGAGTCAGAACGATGCTCTTCGGTTTGCCCGTCGAACCGGAAGATTGAATAATCACAGCAGGATCTTCGACAGCGACCCTTACACCCTTCGAAACTGAACTTTTCAGCATATCAGACATACGAAGATTTCCTCTGGAATCGGGCATCGACTCGATAAGCGTTGTTATAGGCTTGAAGGTGCTATGGTCAGTGGTGAGCGACTGCACGGGCTGAACTCAAGCTGAGCCTCGAAAAATCAATACAGTCTGATAGAGAGATCCTCCGGCGATTGCCACCCAGTCGCGCCGCTCACTTCACTCACGCATCAATGTCATCATCGTCCATCCGGATGATGTGTTTGATTTTTTTCGGAGAAGAGCGCGACTCCAGGTCCGGATAAGCGCCCCGAAGCGTAGCGCTATGATCCATGAACTTGAAGGGCCGGCCCAGTATGATGGCTCTGGTTTCGGTCTGGATTCAGGATTGGGAGAGAGATAAGTGGTCTCTAGTATTTTCAGTGGCGCACAAAACATTAAAGGCTCAATGAAGGAAATTATCAAGACATCGGGTCACCTTATCTAGGATGTATCTGAGTTCGGTCTCGTGTGCAGCCGAATTGACCGCCACCTGGAAGGTCGGAGAGGAATATTACCAGTAGGAATACTTGGATTCCTGGATCATCCAGGAAATCCAGAAGTTCGACCCAGAAGCCTCCGCGAGCGGGCGAGAGCTCCTTGGCGCCATGAATTCGAATCTGGTTCCCTCTCCCAAGTGACTGTCTCTCCGTGTCGTCAACACATTGGAACACACGTGCGCGCTGATTGCGGTGTGCGGAGAGGAAAACAGACTGACCTATGTAGTTAAAGTGTTCTCTAATTAAATTGAATCACTCCGAGATGGCGGCAGGCGTTGACGGCGAGTCGAAAAACAAAAACTTGACTCTCTTCGTGAAGAACCTTCCCCAGGATGCTACGAGAGAGCAGCTGGATTTAGTTTTTCCGAAGTCGGAAAAGTTCGACATTGTTTCGTGGTCAAGAAGCGTCAACAGTTCAAGGGGATAGGTTTTGTGACTTTCACCAACGATGAGGACGTCAATGCAGCCCTCAGCAGAAGCTTCAAGCTGGGAAGCAATCAACTCAATGTCACACTGGCCGAAGATAGGAAAAAGAATGGTACGATTGATTGTTGACTCCAAGAGTCTTCCCGTCGAGCAGTGACGGGGAAACACTTCAGGATGTTGGGTCTTTTTCTAACCGTTATGTTCGGAGACCGAGTAATTCCAGAAGCTTCTCGTGGATGTCACGGGAAGCAAGTTTTTCGATTTCTCAGGCCACCGTCTGAATCTCGGCTCGTGTCCCGAATGTCAAAAGATCCGGATTGACCAACACACGTTTCTTCCTCAGATCCATTCGCTTCGCAGAAAGACAAGATTAAGGTGAGCTTCACGAAAGAAGCGAAAGCAGCCAGGAAGAAACAGAAATCCCGGCTCATCGTGCGCAACCTGTCTTTCAAAGCAACGGAGGAAGACTTGATGAAATCCTTCGGGAAATTCGGCGAAATCCAGAGCGTCAACATTCCGAAGAAGCCCGACGGGAAAATGCGAGGCTTCGCTTTCGTGCAATTCAATAGCACGCCCCATGCTATGAAGGCGGTCAAAGAGATGAACATGAAAGACATCAAGGGCCGAACTGTGGCTGTCGACTTCACCGTCGCTAAGGGGAAATTCGAAGATGTCCGGAGACAGGAAAAACCCGTGCCGAATGCAAAGAAAAACAGCAGGTTCGTTGTTATCACTTATGACCTTTCTTCGCTCGTCTCATTTTCAGCATTCCGCTGAATTCGAGGACAGCTACCCCTGTTGATGCCCTCCGGGGCTGATTAACTCAAGCCAACTTCTAGGTCACATGGAGGAATCGAAGGCAGTGTTTCGGGGGAAGACGAGGATGACGACGAGGAGAGCGACGAGGGTGATGATGTAGAAGAGTCTGGGGACGACCAGGAGGAACAACCGCAGCGGAAAAATGACCGGAAGCGGAAAAAGCCTAAAAATGGAAAATCTTCAGAGCAACGGGGAGGCAAAGACAACAGTGATGATTCGGATGGTAGCTCCTCGAGTGAGGACGACACGGGGAGTGACTCGAGCGACGATGATGAATTCGAGAAGAAACACCTTCAGAAGAGACTGAAGAAGTCGGCAGGCCAAGCCAAGAATCTGCGTGAGGATCCTGATGAGAAGAGTGATTCCGAAATCGAATTCGGAAGCGACGGCGAAGTTCGTCTCGTCCGGAGAGATCAGGTCAAAGACAAGAAGAGGATCCTCGGAAAAAAATCCAGCGCTCCTCAAAAGGAACAGACCCAGGAGGAGAGCGAAAGCGACAGCTCGGGAGACGAGGAAGCCATGGAGGTTGACGGAAGCGACGATGACGATCAAGCTAGCGGTGGTGAAGACAATGGGGATCTCTTAGGTGAGCTTCCATTCCAAATCTGCGATCGCGATGTCAAGTTTGAAGTCTGTTTCATTTGTTCGGCTCCTCCTGGAACGAAGCCGAAGTCTCTCAACTAAACGTGACTGAACTCTTCCGAAGACGATCAAGATACTGCGGAGACTGCACCCAAGAAGAAGGTGAAGGGGAAATCTGACGCTGGAAATAAGGAATCCGGAGCGGACTCAGATTCCGACTGGGGTCATACCCCGAGCGAGGGGAGCTCCGATGAAGAAGGCACCAAAGACAAGGACGGTGATGCCGAAGCGGCAAAAAGGTGAGCGCTCCAGTCGGATCGATCCTGTATGTATACCGAGTCGAGAAAATTTCACCAAGAGTCGATGCGGTATAAACGAGCACATGAATCAAGAGAGAAAATCCCTTTGATCATCTTTTCGGGTTCCAGGCGAGCGGAGATGATCAAGAAAGAAGATCTCAACCGAACGGTGTTCCTGTCCAACATTTCTTTCGAGACCACACAGAAAACGCTCCAAGAACACATGAAGAAGTTCGGTCCGTATAAGTTCTGCCTGCTCTGCATGGACAGGATTCTCAACCGATCGAAAGGGACCGCTTTCGTGAAGTTTGAGGAGAGAGCCGACGCAGAGAAGTGCATCGCCAGCTTGCGGGCTGGTGAACTGACGCTCGACGGCAAGGTAGGGCGCGATCACTTCCATGTTGCGGAATTTTCGAGATCGCATCCAAGAGCTTGCCTGATGAAGAATTTTCCTTCAAGGTACTATCGGCCTCGAGTGCCATGAAACGTGATCAGTTGCAGCAGGAAATCAGCAAGAAAACAGAAACGAAGAAACAGCCGAAAGACAACCGCAATCTGTATCTCGCGAGGGAAGGTTTCATTCGCGGAGGAACTGCGGTAGCCGCAGATTGTTCGGAACACGACATCAGAGTCCGAGCGAAACTAGAGGCCAATAAGAAGAAATCGCTGAAGAATCTGCATAATTTCGTATCGCCGACGCGGCTCTGCATTCACAATCTCCCTCCGACTTGTGACGATAGGCAATTGCGGAGAATTTTCGCGGCTGCCGTCGACCGATCCGCTAAGATCACCGAAGCCCGAGTGATGCTCAACATGAAACGATTGGGGCCGGACGGGAAAGGAACGTCCAAAGGTTTCGGTTTCGTCAATTTTTCGAAACACGAAGACGCTCTCAAAGCCCTCCGGCACGTCAATAACAACCCGGAGATATTCACCGACATGATGAGACCGATCGTGTCGTTTTCAATTGAGAATAAAGCTGCTCTGATGGTCAAGGAACGGCGACTGCAACATTCGAGAGAAAAACTCAAAGAGCTCCACCAAATGAAGAGTGATCCGGTCAAGTCGACAGAACAGCGGAATGTTGACTATGGGAAGGGCGAACGCCTGTCCTTCGAAGGTCTCCGAGCCCAGGCGGACATGAAAACTTTGCCGCGTCGAGTCGGTGAGAAAGTTAGGGCTGATCCGAGCAGACGGAACCATCTGATGCGGTTGAAGCGTCTGGCGAAAAAAGCCAAGAAACAACCAGAATTCAAGAAGAAGAAGGAAAAGAGAGTTCGGGCCCCAACGAAAGCCCAGCTCAAGGAAAAACGACAAGATAAACAGCTCAGTGACTTGATAAACAAGAGGCGTAATAGGCTGCAAAAGAACTCTGAATAAAGATCGATGATTGAATACTATTTCTTTAGATCCGATGGAACATCCCGAGACGAGCCGGCGATTCGTTGGATTTTAGGAGTTGGGATCAGGGCTGTGCCAGATCTCACCTCCATTAGATGAGGCTATCCACGACTCGTTGTTATCTACGATTCCCTGATCTCTCCGGAGTACACTCACCACAACGCAACCGGCTCTGTTTATCGCGTATTTCGCGATCAGCCATTCGTAGCAGGTCGGTGCGAATATCGCGACTCGCGAAAGCGGCTCCAAATTTAGGTCCTGCAGTCCCGATGAGAATTTGGAGACGTCACGATGGAATTCCTCGAAAGTCTTCCGAGTTCCGTCGGCGAAGACACAGGCTTCTTTTGACTGATGTTCCGCAACTGAGGAGTACAATCTTGAACGGCTGACACTGAGGAAGTTTTCCTTGATTCTCGATCCGATACGAACTTGGAATCAATGGTGTCGCCCCAATGGTGCCCGATCTCTCTTGCAGTTGAATTAGAACGGATGATTTTCGAGTACGTACCCGACTCGTCGAAAGCGTCTGGGATCGTCAAATTCCTCGTTGGCGTCGCGAAATTTCTCCCGAAGAATCTAAGTCTTTGACTCGTTTTCACCAATACTAATCGAGAGGAAAAAGATCGCACAGCCATGCTTCCGATCTACCAGAATAACTTAAGGGGGCAAGTATCACTCAATTCCTTCGGAAAAGCCGAGAGCTTATCATCGAGGCTATGGCAATGCTCATGTTTTTCACTGTACTCGCTCCTTTGCGACATTTCACCGCAGCACTCGTTTACGAACTGATTATCCTAGGGCTCCTCTCCACCTCTAACCTACTTTCCTTCCCGAGCCTTGCGACGACCGGTCACCACCGAGACACACTTGAGCCGTGACAAACTTACACCGTCGAGGGGTAAGTTTGGTGCACAGTAGAGGGGATGCAGTTCCCGCTACGATTAGGGGTCGTGGCATGATTTCGAGGGCGAAATTCCTCCAAGAACGAGAACACTGAGCCGGAAAGATGCCAGGGCTCTCCCACGGTCCGCGATCGTCCAATTCAAGGTTCTCATGTAGTGGCTACTCTCAACAATTCGACTGTCAGGAAATATCGTCGATAGTTATTCGCCAATGTCTTCCTCGCTCATTCCGGGTGCGGCGATATCAGCAACGGAGGAAACGCAACAATCAGGTGTCGAGAAGAGAGAGCCGTCGACAGAGGGTCTCGCTACGAAAAGTGTAGGCAGATAGCGTTCAATCGAAGCGACGCATAGATGAGGAAAGCCGCAATCGTTGCCCTCTCAGCACCGTCCTCAAGCGACCGGCTCCCGTCGGAATCGCGCAATAAGGGGCACTCGGAACTTGGGTACCCGAGAGAGGAAACCCCGAACTGGGTCCGACAGAATTGGCGAGATTGATTGAACAAAATCCAGCTGATATGCTTGCTGCATTCGACAGAAACCTACCCCTTGAAGTTTTTTATGATGATTGATAAATAATACAAAGAGCTTCGCGCCCCGGCTTCATGGATCGGCGTGTGAGCTCTTTGAGTATTGTCTTGAACGCCATCTGATCGGAATGATCCCGGTTCCCCGCATGCAGGCTGAAGTGAGCTCCAGCAGCCCCAACAATACATCTCGAAAGCTGGTGGGAGTTGATGAGGCGAATTCCACGCCAACTGATCCCCTGTCCCCCGATGAAACATAAATAATTCCGCAAAATGAAAGTCACGAATCGCCCACGACATTTATGTATCTGTTTCGTTCCGCTGGGAATCTGTCTCTGAACAGGAGCGTTCCCAGGATTTTTTTTTGGGGGGGGGGGC